AGAAACGGTGTACTGTAAATAATAATTTAATTACAAATAGGCATTTAAGATGGCAAAAAAAAAAAAAAAAACTGATCAGTTTTGGTCTACATAGAACAGGAAATTAATCAGGGTCCATACTGAAACAGTTCATGTCTTAAAGTGGGGGTATTAAGTAAAGTGGACTTTCTTGAGATTTAATTCATCTTTATTGTTGTTCCCTCAACAAAAACATACTTGAAGTATTGCTTTGATTTTTTGGTTTTGATTTTTTTTTATTTTTATGCATGTTTTGAGGAATTGTTGGATCTTCCTTGGCAGCCATTCAGGATGCAAACACACTTGGTCTCACAAAGCGTAGCCCATTGATGTATATTTACAATAATATATATGAAGTAACATATATCAACTGCAGACATTAGCAAACATTTTGAGGAAATATGAGTCTGCTGAGCTTGACGGCATGATGGGAAGACATTGTGATAGTGTGCTGAAGACGGAGTGTTGGAAAGAACAGGAGCTTCTTAAAAAGACAGAGGCCAATTTTAAGGCATTAAATTGCAAAGTAACATTTCTTTTAAATTATGTTTGATATGTACAGCATGTTTATAACAGCATAGTTGCTGGGTTGTGATATAAATGACTCTATGTGACTGGAAAGTGCATAATGTCACACCTACCAAATATAATCAGCAGGTGGCAGCGTTGTATGATCACCTGGGCTTGAAATTTACCAAACTGAATGAAATTATTTTGCATTCTTTGGGAATTCATCATTGCCTTTTACATTAACTGAAGGAGTTCACCATAGAAATATTTTTGGTAGGTTTTCAAACTATAAATTATTTGAAGACGAAATCGGGTTTCAGGCAGTAAAGCACTTTAACGCAGTTCTGCTATAAGAAACATTCAGCCCAGGCAAGGAATGAGTAAGTGTTGAAACATGTTATTCAAGAGCAGTGATGCTTGAAAATAAGCCAGAGTAGATGAGAATCATTGTGTTGCAAAGCATGTCAGAAGTATGACATGGTTTTGTTCTTGGGTACGTTGTGAACTTTTACAGTCATTCCTTCGTTCGGGAATTGGACATTCCAGTTTATGGTAACTCTTACAAACCTAGACGTGCTATTCTTCTGTTGTCAGTCAAGTTGTCTGAAAAAGCTCTGGATTGCTTAAGAAACTGTTGTGCAAATCTTCTAATTATCTAATACGATTTAAAAATGGTCTGTGAAAATTTCAATTTAATAAGTTTTGTCTCTTGTTTTCTTTATTTATAAAGCTCAAAAACAACAAGCCAATTGTTTCAAGAACTATAAAACGTTTCATGAATGTCTTTTTGTAAATACGCCACCAAATACTTTTTGTGGTTTTGGGCAGTGTTCAGACTCCTGTATTTTTGGTGGTTCAGTTGCTTTAATTTCTCTTATTTGATTTTGGGCTTCAGTTTTGGACGCCTCTAGTTGTATTTTGGAGATGTGGGATATGAATTTCTTCATACTATTTAAGTAGTATGTTTATCTCTGGGGCCTGTACTGAGTTACATGAAGGGGTGTGTCTGTTTGCCTTGTTACATAGATGAGCTGTGCAACATGTCATGAACAACACTGAGAAACAAGCAATATAAACCGATATTTTGGTAAATCGGTGCCAAACAAGTAAAACGTAACAAGCTGTTACGTTTACAAAGTTGTTCTATTATTCTATTATCAGAAAGATTAGACATTTACAGTAAGATTTTGAAACCTGTTTTGGACACAATTTGTGGATTCCTTCCTTGTGGGAATGATTCTATAGTGATGTAATGCAGCACACTGGTGACTTTCCAAAACCTTCATAACAACAAAAGCAAGCTGTTGCTGTCAGTACAATGTATCCTCTAATGTTGTAGTACACCACTGCTCTATATTATAGAATTTATTTGAATAACCAAACCTGTCCTGAGTGTACTTCGACTCTTGCCCGCTGACTTCTTATGCCTTCAACACTGACGGCATAAGAAAATACATAGACGATGGATGCCAGTAACCCTAGATGGGCTTTTACTAAATATCTCTGATGTTATGTATGATGTTTGTCTTTAAATTGTCACACTGCATATTGACAACACAAATTGTCCATAACTAAACTGTGTTTGCCCTTCATTGCAGCAAGTGAAGGCAAATAAAGTGGGAGTTTCACAGAGAAGTAACATTAACATGATTGACTGTGAAGACCAGATCTGAGTAGTCAGATGAAATTCTCCCCTGGTTTACTGTTTGTTTCACTCTGTAGATTTTAGCATCTTTTCTTTTCCTTTCTCCATTTTAGAGAATTTGTAGTTTTTGGAAAATATTGGCAAACACTATACTTAAAATTTTTCTCAAGTTTGAACTGTCAAGATGTTTGAAGGTTATAAATTACATTATTAAAATGATATATAAAATAAGGTGGATTGTTGTGACAGGGTGAGTTCGTGTGAACATTCTGAATTCAGTAAACGTTTTTTTTAGGAGACAGACGGGAAACTCCTGTTTGTGAAACACCTGTAAGGAACTTGCTTTCTTTTTTTAACTGCTTGTAATTAAAGTAGCTGATTCACTGTATTATATGCACTGTTGAATAAACTGATTGTAAAATAAACAGTTTATCATGTGCAACAACCGTAAATGAAGAAAGAGCAGCATGCAGCCAACCGAGTGCTTTCATTCTGAAAGGGTGAAACTCATAACTCATGTCTGAGAGGACACTGTGACAGGGTTGCATGGTAGACGATTTACAATTGATACAACTAAATGTTGCTAATGAGGGTCATTCTACACTAAAATGACTGAAAAGGTATGCAAACAGATCACTAATATTGCATGTAAATTATTTCATTTTGTGGTGAACAAAAAAAATCTGCATCAGCCAAAGAACGAGTATTTCTAGAATCAGATTCTCACCGCCAGAAGGCCCGAGTAGTGTCAGGAGAGATTTGCTACAGGCATTTTACGAGGGCATCTAAGCATACTCAGTCAAAGCAGTGTACTGCGTGCCTCAAACATTACACAAGATTACATTCAAAGAGTGAATCTGCTTCCTTTTAGGTTTGCTCAAGGCAACTTGTCATATTTCGCAAATGTCCAGCGTTTGGGGATTCGTTTTTACGACATCTTGTGGAAAGATGCAACATGTGGATGTGTCTTCATGCAACTGTTGGTTCTAATATCAAGTTCCTGAATGCCCCATATTATAGCATTTAACGTGTCGGGTTTCATGCAATACTGTTTAAGAAACTACAAATTGCAAGTCCAAACATGTTTTGGAAAAGTTTCCTCAGCCTTGACTAAAATTGGTACAGTCTGAGGAAACGCAAGATTAAGGAAGAAAATATATTAAATTACACTACAAGTATGTTAAATTACGCTACACACACATAAATACTTTGAAATATTTACTGCGAAATTCTTTAAAAACAAGCAGCTCAATGCAAGTTTGAAACTAAAACTCAGAGATAAAATCTACCAGGGGAATGAATAATTACAATCTAAGCTGTACAAATGACATTCAAATACATTAGACATAAATTTAGACACTCCATGTAGTGCATAAACGGAGTGGAGGACATTATTTTGTAACTTCTGCAGAACCAAATCTTCCTTGTTGAGTCGCTGCAACACACCCCACTCTACATGTACCTAGGCTCATGTTTGCTGCTGAGGCTTCAGAAATTATGGTTTTCTTTTGTCTCCCCTCTAGCCTAGGTAGTTGTTGAGGTGGAGGCATAGCGGGGCTACGTGGTTTATGTGATGGGTCCCACTTGATAAACACCAATCCATGCCATTCATGCCACTCTCTCGGGTAGTTTCTGCCTGGCTGAAACTATATTTGAGGATAGTTCTACATTTATTTATTTTGTTCTTGAATGCATGATGTGAAACATTTCAGTTTGTTTCAATGGAAAGTCAAGTGGTAGTCTCCAGGCAGCTGTTTGTTCCAACCACGATTTAATTTAACTTGGTTAATTCACTGGTGGTGGCGTGAAATGGTATCAAATTCCCGGCCTGGATTATCCCAGTCCACCCCTGCTTGGAAATCAAATTTGGCTATTCCAGTGTCGTCACATATGGCTCAGGAGTTTTGTTGAAGCTGTAAAGCATCATGGCTGGTCAGGTTTTGGTCAGGATTCTGGCAGCAGCATTTTGGAAGAGTTTAAAAGAATGAAAAATAACAGCTTAAATTTGGCATGAGTTAATTAACATTAACTTAACAAACTTGATTTTCAGCCTGAAGAAAAATGCTCATGTTCTAAATTCAGCAGGCGTTTCAAGACTTGTCCTACTAGTTACGCTAAGCCATTCTTTTTGGTGCATGCCAGATGACATTTTTCCTGATGTGTGAAGTGGAAATATTTTTCTACACTCCTCTTTCTCTTCAGATAGAGAGTTGATTGCATAACTAAAACAAACCGAAGCATTTATGTTCAACAAGAAAATGTTAGTTGCTGAAGTCAGATGACATTTCAGATTTTCTAGAGTGGGTGTTTTGCTGTCTTAGCCAGCCAGTATCTTGTCAAGCATCATAGAGCCGAGGTATTTCAGCTTCTCAACCTGCGTTTTCTTTTACATTTTTTTGATAAGCATTTTGAATAATTTGGAGTGGAAAAACCCACTAATAGGTGAATCCATAAATGCCGAAACACAAATAGGCACTGTATAATGATAAACTAACAGACAATGTTTGCAAACCTAAAGTAATATAGCTGTAAACTTTTTTTTTTTGATGGGTTTTATTTTGTAGAGCCATGCAGTTATTATTAAAAAGACTGACACTTTTTACCTTCACTTCCAGTTCTAGTCCTCATGGAACTTGGAACTGACATGTCGGCGTTTTGGGTCTGACAATTAAGGATTTAAAAGAGACTTTGAATCCGCAGGGTTTAATGGACTTTGTCTTGTCGGACATAAACCTGAGAAAGGAGGTGGAAGAACATATATGAATACAAATGTTGGATTTTTGGACCTGCTGTCGTAAAAATCTGTCTTCCTCTCTCTTTGTTTCAGAAGCTTAAAGTGGCCTCCAGTCATGAGTCCCCGCTGCAGAGTGAACTTCAACACTATGATTTTCCTGGTCGTCCTGCAGGGGGCAGCAGTTGTGCTCTTCTGCAACTGGTACTACCAGCTGAGCCCCTGCAACTCCCCTCCCCGAAAAGGCAAGATTCACGTTTTGCTGCTGTCGTCGTGGCGATCAGGTTCATCCTTTCTGGGTCAGGTTTTCAGTCAACACCCATCTGTTTTCTACCTCATGGAGCCCGGGTGGCATGTTTGGACCAAAATAGAGAAACCTGGTGCACGAGTTCTCCGAATGGCTGTGAGGGATCTAATGCGGAGCTTGTACCAGTGTGACTTCTCAGTGATGGATTCCTACATGCCTGAGAACTACAATATGTCCACCTTGTTTATGTTTCACCACAGTCGGGCACTGTGCTCGCCTCCTGCGTGCTCCCTCACACGGCGCAGTGACATGAGCAACGAGACTCTTTGCCAAAAGAAATGTGATTCTCAAGGTTTGGAGATGGTGGAGAAGGCCTGCCACACTTACAGCCATGTGGTTTTAAAAGAAACTCGTTTTTTTGAGCTGGAATCCCTTTATCCCCTTTTTCAAGACCCAAACCTGGACCTCCGCATCGTTCACCTCGTTCGAGACCCTCGGGCCGTGATACGGTCAAGAGAGGAATCAGCCAAGTCTTTTGACATGGACAACGCCATCGTCTTGGAGCAAAGAAACGTACCAGCAGCCAGTATCCAGTACGAAGTGATGCAGGAGATCTGCAGAAGCCACGTACGCATCAACGAAAGGGCAATCCTGAAGCCACCTCCTTTTCTGGAAGGTCGCTACAAAATGATTCGGTATGAAGACGTGGCACGCAACCCGTTGAAGGAGATTAATGATATTTATGACTTTGTCGGTTTAGAGATGACAAGTCAGATGGAGGAATGGATCTACAAAGTGACCCACGGAAAAGGGAAAGGCAGCAAGAAAGAGGCTTTCCAGATCACCTCTAGGAATGCCAATGAGGTGTCACAGGCGTGGCGCACCGTGCTGCAACACAGCAAGGTCAAACGCATTCAGGAGCTGTGCAAAGGGGCCATGTCGCTGCTCGGCTACCGGACAGTTGACAGCGAAAAAGAACAGAAGAGACTCGACATAGATCTGCTGGTTCCACGTGAACCTTACGAGTTCAGCTGGGTTTCAGCTAAATCTCAGCGCACAGGGAGCAGCTAGAGCATCACGCCTCCTGTTTCAGGTCCTCTCAGAGGCGACAGGCTTGAATAGTCTCCCTGTCGCTGTTAAAGCACGGCTCAAACTTCCACCTCAGACTGCCTCTTTTCAAGATTTGAAGATTAATTACAGCCTTTTTGCATGACAGTACACTGAGTACAGCATGTGAAAGTGGAGTAAAAGACTCAGTAGAACTTACTGACAGCCTTGTTCCTGAAAACCTCTGATAGATGGTTAGCTATGCAAGGGTTTACACTCCATTGCATTTCACAGAACATCACTCACAACTACCTTAAGAGTCACAGTTGAGCTTGAAGACAAACTAATGGCACCTGTTTTCAATGCTTTCCACTTCTTTTCCACTAACTTTTGTATTTGTATATTATTTAAATGATCATGTAAACCTTAGCAAAATGTCAACATACACCCTATGCCAATTAGCATACAGAGTTTGTCTTGTTATCCTTGGGCCCAGCGATTCCTGGAGTCTCTCTACTGCTTTGGAGGAGAAACTTACCAATATTTATGGAAACTTGAGACTCACAGTTACCAGGGGTTTCAACGGACAAATCTGATTTACCTAAATTTGTATACATTGGAATGGTATGCGTACATCCAGTCTCACATGTAATTTATTGTAAATCAATGCGTTCTTTGTCCAGTGATGAGCAGGAACACATTTCTGAGGGTACGTGTATATTGTCTGAGAAGGCCGAGCTTAACATGGCTTTTTATTCCTGAGAAACTTGAATAGAGCACAGCTCGTTGGAGTGTACTGATCTGGAGACAAGAGATGCCTGAAGATCAGATCGTTTTAGGACAAACTTTGGCTTCTTCTTTTTTATGAAGGAATCAACAAAATTTTGCCTCAAAGACAGGATTTGGTTGTCTGCTATGTGTGTTAGGCTGTTACACATCTGACCACCTCATTCTGCAACATGTAGCTTTTCCGTTCTGACAAACATAAATGTACAAAGTTGTTTTTTAAATAGCGCTGAATTGTTTGCGAGATTTACCTGAGAATGTGCGTTTAAAGGCTAAAATATGTCAGAGTTGCTTTGTAAAGTGTAACACAAAAAATGAAGTTATGGTGTAGTGATAGTGAGTGAACGATGGCACAGATCAGTCTTAAACTACATGCATCATCATTAATTCAACTTTTCCTTTACAGTGGTGTTCAAACTTGTAGGTAATGATTGTTATACTTATTTAAATTTGATGACTGAAAGGGATAACTATACCTACGTAACATCAAGCTGATATTAATGCATAACAAAGTTGCCAACTACAAAAAACTGGCAAAAGGAAAAGGACACTTAAAGCTTTAGCCACACGTGTAGTGGATACAAGTGAAGTAATGCAAAAATGTAGCATATTACTGGTGTAGCAGCTCCCCAGCACTTGAATTAATTTGCGTGGTCTCGACGGGTGATTTTCAAGGTTTGTTTATTTTT